GGCTGGGGGAATTCTGGGAGTTGAAGTCCACACGTCTTCAAGTTGCTGAGGTTGAGAAACATGGGGATAAGGTGAAAAAAAACTGCCTCAGTAACTCTCAGTCAAAATGGGAAATGAATGAGGACTAGCAACTTATATTTTTTTCCAGTTAGGCTCCATTGGGATGGATGTTGCCGTTTTCCTCTCTTCGGTCCAATAACTCTTCATTCAATTGTTCCTTCCAGGAAACAATGCGTGTTTTTTGTTTTCCGTTTTTCCCTCGCTCGCGGTGTTCACCTGCACTGGCTACAATGACCACTACATGTACCTCAATCACAGGCAACAGACCATGCCAAACGGACTCGTGAGTACCAAGCAGACGGCCCCTCGCCTTGGCTCTGGCCCCGAGGCTTGGCCTTCGTTTTGCCTAAAATCCCACCCGGTTCTCCTCCTTGCCGGATTGCGGCAGGTCAGGGGGGTTAGAGTGACGCCTTCCGTGGGAAAACGCAGGGAGTCCACAGTTGCTAGTCGGCAGGGAGGTTTGGGAGTTGTGATCCAGTGTCGTAGGAGGGTTCCAGATTGGGGAAGCAGGATAAGTTACTGGAAAGAAGGGAGTTCTAGGATAAAACCTCCAAGCTGAGAGGCAGTCTACCAGTACTGGATGCAGAACTGCAGGGAAGAAGTACCATTAAAAAAAAAAAAGATCGATCCAAGCTGTTACTTATGAATGAATGAGTCATATAAAAGGCATGTGATTGACCACTGGATCGAGCATGATGCTTCAAGCAGCTCTGCATGCTTTGAAAATGAGTCAGGAGAGGTGCTTTGGACTTTGTGCACAGGCTGCATCTTTCTGCTGCTCTTTAAGGTGGCTGATGCTCAGGCATCCTTGCCGATGTGAGGACAAGGATTAGGGTTGCTTTAAAAAGAATCCGTGGGTGAAAGTGAATGGGGCTCTTAAAGCAGCACCGTTTTTCCCTCAGGCTCACAGATCGGCTGCTTTAATGAGTAGCAGAGGTCCAAAGGACTCGTCCCCAATCGTTTTTGAAGGGCGCCCAGCCACATGAGGTGGCCTTTGCTCTTAGCTCTTGTTTAATGATTTGTTTAATGATCTTGTTTAATTGATTAATGAGCCCTGCAGGTCTCTCCTTTGGTTAGAGCAGTGTTTCTCAACCTTGGGAATTTTAAGATGGGTGGACTTCAACTCCCAGAATTCCCCAGCCAGCATGGCTGGCTGGGGAATGCTGGGAGGTGAAGTCCACCCATCTTAAAGTCCCCAAGGTTGAGAAGCACTGGGTTGGAGGGTCGTGCTGGCATTCTCCAGCCTTTTCCTACACCGATACAGGCGTGCCCACCTGCCCCCTCCTGTGGTCTTGCATTGAGGGACCGTTTCTTTTCCTCTAGGGCATGGGCGGCCAGCACGAATACTTTGGGCTCTGGGTGGACAGTAGCTATGGGAAAGGCCACAGCAAAGCGAAGCCTCGGTGCACCACGTACAACAGCCCTCAGCTGTCGGCCAAGGAGAACTTCCTGCTGGATTCCATGGAGGTGTGGGCTGTGGGAGACCTCCTGGAAGACAGCGGGGTAAGTCTCGCCACTCTGACCGATGCCACCATAAGGTAGTAATGCAAACTCCCCTGGGGGGCCAGGAGTTGCCTGCCCCGAAGCACGGCACGCAATCCATGAGTCAAAGCTGGGGTTCTGCAGCAGAAGATGGAAAAGGTGACCCAGATTAGGTTGTGTGGAAGTCACCAAAGGCAAGACCCAGACTAGGGACAGGAGGAGGGGAGAGGAAACGGGGCCTTGGTGTCTCTGTGAGAGGAACAGAATGAGCAGAAGAGGGAATGATTGACAGGGAAGGGAGGAAGTGGGGATCAGAGGGGTGTTTCGGACTTCAACCCTGGCCTGGTTTGGACGTGGCTGCGATTGCCACGTGTATGTAAGCCCTGATTGGCTTTTTCATGACAAAGGCAGCTCTCAAACGTGCAAATGTTTTGCTTTCCTAGGTTAGTGAACAAATTTGGGCCAAGGATGAGGAAGGTTTATAGGAGTATGTTCTACTCCCCCATCAGAACTGATTAACTGTTTCCTGGTGGCTTCCTCTTTACCTGCTAACCAGGTCCAGCCCTGTTAGCTGCCTCCTAACTGGGCACCGCTTGCATAAACTAGGTTAAAGGGGGATGGGTAGTTTGTGGCTGAACATATTGGGGTTATCTAGCCCTTGGCTCACTGTGTGAACCAGGCTATCCTCTTAAATCCTCATACAGTTGACTTGCTTGGACCATAGCGTGCTGGGGTGTTCATTAACCTAGGTTTAGTGCGTTGTGCATACTCAGTCTCTTCCCGTCCAAGGGGGGCTCCACCCCTAGCAAGGCAAACCAGTGAATGCAGGTTTAAATTGACGACTTTACATTCCCAGGTATTTTGTTTCCAAGATCTTAATGGGAACGGGAGGCTTTGCATATCTTGAGTTTTGGCTTAGCAGCTGCATTTTCTCCTTCTTTTGAACGCCTTAAAAAAATAAAAATAAAAATCAGTGCTCGTAGGTTTCTCCCTCCCCCGTGGTGCCCCGGGGTTTCCATTCGAGAGGATTGACGTAGTTCTGCTTTCTCAAGCAGCCCTGTCATCCGACCTAACCTGTTTCGCACCGATCAGGTTGAAGGGCCTGCGGCAAAACCCGTTCCACTGTTTGCCGAGTGGTGGGGTGGACGAGGAGGCCACGCAGCTTCCTCGGGTCAGGTTTCAGGAGCAAACGAAATCGCCCAGAGATGGTTCCAGCCCAGATCGCCCATGACCTGCCCAACCCTCCACCCCCAATCTCCGGTTTGTTTGTTCTTTCAACCTCTCGTCTGGGTTTGGCTTTAGGGAAAAGGCCAGAAGAGCATCTTAGACACCGACCCAGAGGCCCAAGCTTTGCTAGAGATGATCGGGAAAAGCCGCCAGAGCGACGGATTTCGGGAACCGGCTGAGGATGATGGAGACCACTGAGATGACACCTTGGAAGTTTTTTCCCAAGTCTGATCAGGGTTTTGTTGGAACACGTTCCTGGCTTTCTATTTTCCACGCGTCAGTATAGATTACCCACTCTTAAGTGTGATGAGGTTTCCTGAAATAACAATTCGTCTTTACCAACTTTGGACATATTATCTGCGTGGGTTATTTCCAGGGATTGGGCCTGTATTGTACTCAGTTCAGGAGCCTCCTTTTCTTCTTTTCACATTATTCGCATTTCATTGACACTTTCTGGGTGCCAGCCACTCACGTGGACTTCCAGATTTCTGGTGGAAAACTATTCCTGGAATGGGCCCCAGTTCACTGACACAGTTCTCAAAGTTCAGCATTTTCTATGCAAACCAATCTGTATTTTGTTGGGAAAACTTAAATGCCACAGAAACTCCTTTTTGGACTGTTGAAATGCAATATCTAGAAGTCAGGATTTCATGTATTAATCACATCCACATAAACAACTGGATCATATTTCAGTGAGTTACAGCATGAGTCTCTTTTTAGAGTTTGGACAAATTCTGGCTATGAGTTTCCAGCTCAATGGCACATCCACAAGCCGACTGTTTAAGACTCGTGAAATTAAGTCGATTCCAAATCTGCTGATCGAAAAGAGAAGACCAGCCAGGCATGGATGATTGCTAAACGTTGTTGCAACTCAGTTTTGAATGACGAGACATGAATTTTTGCCAGTCCTAGTAATAGCCGAAATTCACTGATTCAGATTAGTCTGCCAGGTATCCCAAAGAAATAAACTTGTATAATCAGGATTTAGTTCAGGCTAGATCTGTTTGAGTAGTGATGGGGCAAAACTTGTTAAGAGTTGTTTTAAATCAGATCCAGCTGATCGATCGATCTCTCTCTCTCTCGTCTGTCTGTCTGTGTCGCTTTTTCTATGTATCTTGGAGCCCCACCTACTCTTATTTTTTGGAGTGGGGCTTCTCCCCACATCACTGACAGGCAAATGCAACCCTGGACCCACAAGTGGGCACTCTGCTTCACAGTAAGGCATGTTCTCTACCGCTGTGTTACAGTCTGTCTTCCGTGTTTATTTCCTCTCCCCTTTCAGGCCTCTTTCTTATGTTCTGCCCAGCCTTCTTGCCAACTCTCCTCTGCGTACCACCAGAATTAATTCCAATAGAAGGAAATATGTGTAGCTCAAGGTTGAACTGTAGAGTCCTTGGGGTTCTCTGAGCTTGGTTGTTTTCTTGCAAATGTTTTGCCTGGCTAGGTAACATCTTCAGTGCTGGAAGGGAGTGGGGTTTGCTCTCTGATTATATACAGTGGCCTGCCCTGCCAGTGTTGGTGACTGAGTTAGTTGATTTTTCTCTGGTAGTTCCTTGATTAGGGTATTGTTTACTGCTTGATTGTATGTCTGCTGATAATCTACACACTCTTCAAAAGAGACAATAAAAAGGAAACAAAAGACCAGAACATCTCACCAGCAATCATCACCCAGATAAGCAGAGATTAACACCAAGATTATTACCAGACATACAATCAAGTAGTAAACAATACCCTAATCAAGGAACTACCAGAGAAGAAATAACACACACGCACACAAACACCCCCCAACACTGGCAGGGCAGGCCACTGTATATAAACACTCCACTTTAGCACTGAAGATGTTAGCTAGCTGGGTAACGAAACGTTTGCAAGAAAATCACCAAGCTCAGAGAACCCCAAGGGCTCCACAGAATTAATTCCTTCCAGGTATTGCTGGGGGCAGAGGTGACTGCGGGAGGTAAGACGGGCAGGTGATGAAAGCAGCCTCCAGCTCTTGTGATGCATTTCTGTCCTCTTTGTATGTGTGTTGTGCTGTCGCTTGCACATCTGGAAGGGGTGAAACACATGGTGTGACACTGCTTCCATCCGTTTGACCAAAGCATCAGATCTTCTGGATGCCTCTGCCTGGAGTTTGTTTTGGAAAACAAAAGAGGGTCAGTAGAGAATCACTTGCCCTTGGCTTTTTGTGTATCACCAGGGAGGGGACGTGTTTTTGCATGCCAAAGACCCGGGTTCAATTGTAGCCATCGCCAGTTAGAAGGATTACACACCAGCGGATTGGAAAAAGTCCTAAGGAGCTACTGAATAGAAGACCTATTCATGAAACCAAAGATGTAAAGAAGGAACCAAGAGGGAATAAAAAGGATAAATATGATAAAACACATTTTTTCATACTTCGAAAAAAATAGTTTAGAAGAAAAACTAGGCAGAAAAAGAGGCCTTAAGGATTGAAAACTATAGCTAGATTTACATATTGTGCCAAGTCATGGCTTATTGAATAAACCACAAATGCCTATTAAGCTTTAAACCATAATTTATAAGCCATAATGGCTGGGGTCATGTGTCACCGTCCAAATCAAGGGAACCACACTAAGGTTTAGCACTGTGTGTGAATCCAGCCACTGGCTTTTTAATCCCAGTTGAACACCTAAATCACAACACCGCATTGACTCCCCAGAAGACACAAAAGCAGACTTTATTAACAAAAGTTTTTATTACATCTTAAATAAATAAAGGGTAATTCCACAATTTTTGGACCTGTTCTGAAGGGAGACTGTATTGTCAGATGAGTAGGTGGAATCCATGCATCATTTCAACTTTACAGGATGGGATGGCTGGTGATCAAAAAACAGATCAAAAAATAGATGCTTTGGGGACATTCAATGATGTAGAAGAGACTCAAGCGGTCCCAGGGGACTTCCAGAATCTGAGAATTTCCTTGAAGCCACTTTGAGGGCAAGGCGTATTCTGTTCGTCAGACCATTTCCAATGCTTTGTGATCTGTCTTTGACCCACAACAGTATTTTTCACACGTTTTGAGCAGTTCCGAGAGGATAAAAACAGAAGACGCCAGGGCGGTGAGGAACAGCAGGTCTGTCGAAGGAAGGAAACGAAAGGGTTACTAATACAGACAGAACAAGCTGGCATCGGTTGGCATCTCAGAGAATCATTTGCCCGTTGAACTTCCAATGAAAGTGCATTTTAGGGGACTAGGTTCTTACAGTCAATGGGAGCCAAAAGGATGCTGAAATGAAAAGAATTGGCAGTTAAATTTTTTCAGAGGAAGATACGTTCCCCTGAACCTCATATTTTTCATCATTAACATTTTTTTGTAGGTTGCCATTTAGACTCATTGAAAAGAAAAGACATACAATTTTTGAAGCAAGCTGTTGCCTTCCATTCCAGATGCTTGTCAGTCTAATTTTGCAGACTATGTTATTAGGGTGGCAACAATCTATGGCCATGAGGTTAAACCTTTTATTTAGAAAGATTGAAATCCTCCTTCGAAAGGTGAGCCCTGAGACTTACCCAGCACTCCTACATTCTCTGTCTGGAAGATCTTCTGTAGTGGAGGAACGTAAATAACAGCCATTTGTCCCAAAAGAGATCCTAGCACAGAATATAAGAACATGCGGTTTCGGAAGAAACCGATTTCTAGTATCAGTTTTGTCTGGGGGAGAAAAAGAAAGATCAAATTATTCAATATTCCTTTGGTCTTTCTCCTCACCACCCCCCCAGCTTGTTTTTCCAAAGCAGCTTTTGAGCAAATCAGATGATTAATAAAATCATGTATTTGATTATACATCAGTGCAAATTCAAATCTTTTTAAAGCAGGTGTTTCTCTCATTAATAACAAGTGCAAGGTCTGATCATAAGATGAATTACAGCTCATTGGGTGTGGCAACACCCCACAGCCATCCTGATTAAAGTTCTCCCCCACAAAAGGTCCCTACTATTGGTATCAATAAGCAGGTTCAGGGAAGGAATTTTGAGTGAAACAATCGTATTTCTCATGTATTGCATGAGAACCAACTCACACAAACCAACAACCTTCAGACATCTTAAATGCACCCACATATTTAATGTGCATAGCCCAGGTCATATACCAAATGTGTTTGGTTTACTTTGTAATATGAAGATAACCAAGCTTGTTTAACCATGGTTTATGACAGTACAATGTATGGCTCTAGCAAATTATGGTTTATTTAGCAACCCTAGTTGAACAAACCATGCCTTACTGTGATGTGCGAAACTAACTTTTAACTTTTTTACTGAGACAAAATAAAATTAGCAATTCCCTTCTTTGAAAGATACCTCTGCTTATCTGCACTGCCTGGTTGCCCCATTGCTGGACTCTTTTTTGGGGGTAGGAAGGCATGAGGTCACTCTGTACTCCTGCTACATTTTCTTAGTCTACTTTTAAAGTACTCTTTCCCCCCCATACATTGCTGTGAGTACTCCTTTTCACTTTGGGTGGTACTTTGCTACAGGCTTATCCCAAGAGTTCATTTCTTCTCCAGAATTCTTCTACCTCAAGTGACTGGAAAAGCTCTGAAACAGTAGACCACTGGACTTATTTAAAAAAAAAAAAAAGAGCACAGGGGAAAGTGGGTAGCTCAGGGAAAGATATCTCTCTTTCTGTCTCTATCTCTGTAAATAGAAACACTATTACTAAGTTTCAAACCAGCAACCTTTTATTTACCAAAAAAAAAGGGTTATAACCACTGTGCTGTAATAGTATTCCTAGCCAAGACAGCTCTAGAAGACATTGGAAAACAACAGGAATACAAAAGTAATTCTTACTCTAAAGCTGGTTATTGTGCCTGCGTGTGTA